CATATTCATATTATACAATATTACTAAACAATGGATGAAAAGCCATCAAAGATAACTTTCTTTTTTTTTAATTGTGTTGTGTTTTGATATGTATACGCACGTAAGTATTTCATTTTTCATAGTGGTCTTTGACAGCAAATTGTATCTATTTGGAACATTTTACTATTTAAATGGTTAAAATTGAAAATTTTCAGTAGGTACTTTAAAAAATGTCGGGAAAAACAAAAATTCCAACTCAAATCCAGTTTTTAACAAAATCAATTTTGTTTTTTGGATGTTACTCAAACTGTAGACCAGTGGCGTCATTTCAGTTTTTAATAGAGTTTGAGAACATTTTTGATCCACCCAAACGGATAACTTAAAAAAACGCTTGCACTTGCAAGTACGTATTATACTATTCACAGTTGTATAAATATAATATTATGTTGTTTTTTCTTCAAAAAATTAAATAATTAACACACATACATATATTGATATATTAACCTTAATGCACGTTCCCGAATCCTTTTAAATATATGTATATTATTCCAACTATTAATTAGTAATACCATTGATTATATACTATAAAATATTATATTATACTATTATATTCTATAATCAATGGTAATACCTAATTTATGTTAKCAGGTTAATAATAAGTTTACATTATAAAATATTTGAAAATAATTGTTGAGCTAGATTTATAATAAACAGCTACTATGAGCTACTTTGAAAAACAAAAATGCTTTTGCACTAATAAAAATAAAAATAGTTGTATAAAAACAAMCGGCCAATTGTGCTGCTTTTAAAATCTGACAGCCAAATGCCCCCACCTTGATACGCTCACTCCCAAATGACGCCACTGCACTGCCATAAACACTTGATCAAAAATTCAAGTTTATATTAGCATTTTATATACACGATACACCATACAATTTTCAAAATATTTTGACTCTTTTATAGAGTTATTTATAGGCATGAGATATTTTAAATATTTAATAGATATAAGATATTTTTAGATTTTTCTGAATGTTCATTTTGTTGCGGTTTAAAATAATATTACTCATAAAAAAAAAGTCAAAACCAMAAAGTGCAACATTAACATAATAGATTTYCAATTTAAATTTAAGTATCAGTATATACTATTTAAAAACTAAAATTGTGTACTTAGCCTTGACCAAACTACTAATTTGAGGTTGTGTAGTCATTAGTAGTTTCCATTAGCATTAGGACATTAAGTCTTATAAATGAAATAAACAATAATTTATAAATATTTCTCATTTATGAAAAATAAAACTATACTTATTCAATTTTTAACAGTTGTAAATAAAATAAATAACTTTCATAGAACATTGTTCAATATTCTATAACATAATATATAACAAATATTGCTAATTTAGTGACTATGTTTATTTATAACAAAAATAATATTTTGAGAGTAACTATGATTGGCACTTTTTAAAAAAAGGCATTAATTTGTTTATTAAATATTAGTATAAAAGTTAATTAAATATTTAGTTAGAGAATTAAGAGTACATTGTWCATAAATATTAGTGATATGATGCTGAATATTTTGAATGAGAGTGACTACARAGTACAGGTGTGTCACCTAGAGTTTTGAAATTCTAAAATTAGTTAAAAATATATAATACCAATAAATATATTTAAAATACCAAAATTTAACAGAAAACATAATTTATTGATCAAAAATAATATTTTAAATTACAAGATTGAAACGGAACCAAAAACACATAATTTGTTACATATCAGATATATGCAATAAATAAATGTACATTTAAACATAAAAAAATAACATAACCACAACCTTTCTTAGATTGAAAGTTAATTACAATAGATTTTTAAAAACAAGTTACAATTCAGGTAGATTATATTAATTTGTCAACATTTTAATCAAAATTATTTTAAGATACATAGTTACAATGAAACAATTATAGTTGAACTTAACATTATTGGCTAAGTACATTATATTACTATCTATCACAGAGTAAACATTTCTTCTTCCTCTTGTTCCAGCCGCTGCCGTGAATTCATCAACTTTAAATTCTGGGTCACTATTATTGGTATTTCGTCTGTRCTTATTGAAGGACCCTGTATTCTACGACTCGTTAATCGTTGGCGTGTAAACAATACTTGTTCTTCTGGACAATACCTTTATAACCAATGAATAATAAAATTGTRAATTTCTAACAATAATATTATCAAACATAAATTGAGAATAGGTATATAGTATTGGAATGGTCGAGTTATTAGTTTAATACAGTAAGCATRAATAATTAATAAGTTTTCTRTTTTTGAATTAGTTGTCTTTAATTAAGATCAAAGAATAGGATTATTATAAAAGTTGATRTACTTTATTTCATGTTTCATTTTTTTTTATTCTTTGTCAATTTAAACACATTAAGTATTCAATAACAGCGTTTATAATTCATAAAATTGAATTAAATGAAGACATTTGGTGGGTGGCATAATGGTACCTTAATAGATTATAAAATACTGAGATGGAACTCGAAGTTAGGCACTTGATAGATTTGAGGCGAAAGATTCTAATAGGGGTTCATTCATGTATTCCAATAATTTTAATATTTTTTTTAGACATTGTAAATTATTTGTAAATACATTTAGCCAGATAATTTTTAAAGAATAACTTACAAACTTCTGTCTTGACTATCTATAACTTGAGCTCTTGCACTAGCGATTTTGTTATCTATTTTATTTAAGAAATTATTACAGTCATCAATGTTGTGCTCTTCAATCGGTGATATATTTGGTGGTTTTGATCCTTTGTCATGTTGGAAGTTGTTTGTTTCAGTGGCATTAATATCGCAAGTAGGTATGTTAAGATGTTTCCTTAARAATAAACTATCATTTGTGAACAGTCGATTGGCATACCGTATTTGCTCAGTCTAAAARGACAATGTTATAAACACATGATTATAAGATGGAGACATCGAAGGTTATTAATTGAAATATTGACAATGCTATATAATAATAATATTTACCGTGACGCTGTATTTAAGAGCAAGCCCTTGCAGTGTGTCTGTCTCCGTGACAACATGTTTGATGTAATGCTCATTGCGTACAAAGTTGGTGTTGTTACTTATGCTACCATATTTTCTTAAAGGTTTCGTATTATCACGGATGCTTACCCTTTCGTCCATTGATACTTGGTTATGCCCATTGAAATGATTGCTGTTGCATAATGTGATTTCACAAGGCTCAAACGTTTTTCACGTTAAGACGTACAATGAATGTACAAAGTACATACAGCTCCTAAATAAAAACATGATTGTTGTAGTGCTTTTGTTTGTCGAGATGTCGAGTATGGATGGATTATAAATTAAACAAATAATCATCAGTATTATTATTATTATTACACAAGTGTGTGGCGTGWGCACAATTTAAATGATTTCACTCAGCGCGTTTTCGTTGCTAACGTCAGTGAAATGCCTTCACTTTTTTTATGAGAATTTCTTTCATGAGAAACCTAAAAAATTGTTGTTGTTTGTAAGTTTTATATTATTTGTCTTGAGATGGTTATTGGGCGAAAACCYGACAGTGGACAATCGCGGGCTCCGGCAGTAGGCACGAACGGAAAATAATTAACAATAATTATAAATTGTTTTTATCTTATCAAAATATCATGATTTCTTATCAGTATTGTACAATGAACATTAGAATAAAATCTGGCACATCGCACATGTGACACATGTTTATTATTTAATATTTATTGCAACATAGCTCTGAAGTTTTAGGTAATAATGTAACATTTCAGTCATCTAACAAATATTGATCCCACTTAAACAGAAATCAGAATGCAATTTATTCAGAAGTTGCAATGCGCAACGCAACTCCCTACCACTGCCATTTTCAATGATAAAAAAATCGTAGGTAATTATATCAATTTAATATAAAAAGTTGGACGTTGATCAAACGTGAACCGTAGTAAATTGGTTAGTATTATAATAAATTACTTATTATTACTATATACATACCTATTACATAGTAGGTAATATGTAATAAATTGTACGTGAGTATAATAATACTAAGAAACGCATATAATAAACCTATTCAAAATTCAAATATTTTACTTAAAATCTTAATTATTCATAGAATTTTATTATTTTAAGTACATAATTATTGGGGTTTTATATTAGCCAAAGCTGGACAGTAACTAGTTAAAAATGTTTAAGTTAAATTGTTACTTTTTTTGCTAACTAAAATAATTAGAATATTGGAAAATAAYTAAATTATTTCATTTCATAAATAATTATAACATAACTTAATTATTTAGTTATAATTAAAGATGTATACGATTTTTTATATGAATTTATATTGATTATTCACCGAAAATAAAATATATATTTATGTGAATATCATTATAACATAATAATAATATGAACATCATAGAGTATTCTGTATTACTGTTCTATGGTATTACTCCATGATGGACATGCGTTCTATATGAATACCTTGCACATGAGTCTTKTACGGTAAATCTAAAATACTTAGAAACACCTCAATAATTGTAGATGACTGTAGTACTGTACTAAATTTACTATACAGTGACTTTTTCCTATTTGAAGAACAACGTGTTTAATTTTTGATGTACCCACATATTATTATAATAGTTCGTAGGATTAAATACGCTAAAACCTCTTTTTAACAGTCATAATAATATATTATGTATATAATAAATATAAAAATTTATGTTTTAGAAAGTGAGAATGAGTGATATATAGAATATTTTTAAAAGGGAACAATGTTTTTGAAATTTATGATTTATTCTACTCCAAAACTTCCATATTACGAAGCCTTTTTGGGCACCAAATAATATTCGTACTATAGATAATTTCGTTACATAGAATTAAATAAATGTTGTGGTTCTAATTTGGTTTGGTTTTCAAAAATATTTCGTTAAACACACAATTTTATTTGCTGGAAAATCATTATTTATTTAAAGTTTTAACACCCCAAATGAGTAAGGAGTACAGTTATAGTTATTATAGTTTTATAAAATAAATATACCTATGTAAAATGTACTTTTGTATTGTATGTTATATGACTTATATGGAAGATTTCCATACAGTTGCGTAATTATTAGGAATTTGGTTTTGGGGGAGATTAAATGTTTTTAGCAAAATCTATAAGCTTCATATACTTAGTAACCTACCCCACCAAATATAAAATGTTAGCAGTAAAATAAAAGTTTTTTTGGGGGGGAGATCTTTCTCCTTTTATGCGCTTCTGCTACCATATAATATACATATTATATTCTAATTATTGGAAGTTTCACTATAATGACATATATACTGTGTAAACAATATATATATATATACCTAAATATTTTTAAAGCATACATAATCTTCATACCTAATAATAATAATAATATGCTATAATATATCAAATATATTTCATGTTCGGCGAATAACGTTTRCCGAACACACGTTCACGCACACGCCCGCTCCATTATCTGTTCCAATAATTACTTCGAAATTCGAATCCGCCAAACATAGTGTTGMCTCTATGATCACAAAAAAACGAAATGAAATCAAAAATTTGCCCTCGTTTCTAGCACATCAAAACAAGCAGAAAAAAAATCAAATTGTTTATCTCATCAAATCGATACGCGCATTAGCCAAGGTAGACGGTGAGTGTGAGATCGAAATCGTGGTATTTCTGCCAAAYAATAACTCGGTTGATCGTGAGCAGCTACTTCAAACTGAAGTCGCACCTAAGCCCAGTGCCCACTCGAATACCGGTGATTTACTTAAAAATCATTACCCATTGGCAATTTGTCAATATTCAATAAGAATATAATATCATTCACAGGTATTAACTATTAACAGTATTTAAATCCACACTATCATTTCTTATAGACTGGCCCAAAAACCGTATAACCTACAATATAATAATCGAAACTTATGCAAAATTTCACTACTTCGACCGCACCGCAAACGCCAGTGTAATTAGTAATCAGACATTTCACCAGTCACCACTCTACTTTCAAAACTGCAGATATTTCAAACGCCCTGACCGAACTTGGACACTCTGCATCGGCCACGCTCGTGGGTAGATAATTACCTAATAGAACTGACTTAAAGAAAACTACAATGAATTCATCAAAATGTATATATTACGGTAAAAAGCCAAAATCGGGCAAACCTCAGAAATGCCCGCGGGGCAAAACGCGAACTGCTCACAATCCTTATAGGCAAAATGTCATATTTCGGATTTTGACCGGGCGATGCGGTTACAACGATAAATTAACAAGAAACGTGGGGTCATTTATAATCGTAATAAATTCGTACGACAAAAATCACTATTTATATTTAATATTACCGAACGTATATAAGACACTACGGTTTTGCCATTACGATAAAAGTCAGTATACGGTTTTGCCCAAATTAGGTTGGTTAGTCATAACTATAGGTTTGCCCGGTAAAAAGCCGAAATATGAAGTTTTGCTCAAGGTTTATGGGCAGTTCGTGTTTTGACCGGGCATTTCTGAGATTTGCCCGATTTCGACTTTTGCCCCGTAACATATACACCGCAGTGGGGAATGAAAAACCAAAATACGCAAAACGTAATAGCGCGCCCTAATACTACACACGTCAAGCCTATGATGGTCACGCGTGAAATATTCAATTCTTATAGTTAAATGTTGAACATTTAAGACAAAGATTATCATAAATAGTTCATATTGTAATATTAACCTACTATAGACTATATAGTACTATAGGATGTACTATAGTGTCTAATTCTGTGCATTATTTAATAGATTAAATATAAATTACTTTATTCACAATAATACCATATTAGAATATACCTTATTTTGGTGTAACTCTAAAATAAATGACCACAGATACTYGAAATTTTGACTGAATGTTTATATAGGCATTTTATATATTTGATAAAATTTTCAAAATATTTAGATTTGTTTTGA